ATGGAGAAACAAGGTTCGGACGTACCTTAAGCTGACCCGCCTTTGTATGGAAGAGAACTACTTCTCTTTCCGAGGTAACTTCTACAAGCAGACGAAAGGAGCCCCAATGGGAAACCCCCTATCCCCCTTCTTGTGTGAACTTTTCATGGCCAACTTGGAGACAATCCTGAAGGAGAAAGGACTATTACCAAACCGTTGGTGGAGGTTTGTTGACGATATCTTCAGCGTAGTTAAACGAGAAGCCCTTCCACAAATTTTAGATGAGATCAACAGAATTCATAAGGATATCAAATTCACTCACGAGGTAGAAAAAGACGGGAAACTCGCATTTCTCGATCTTCTAGTCATCAGGGAATCGTCATCATCTTCCTCGCTTGAATACGAAATTTACAGGAAACCAACAAGCACCAAAAGAGTTATCCCCTATACTTCCAACCATTCGTTCCAGCAGAAAATGGCCGCCTTTCACCACATGATTCACCGAATGCAGACTCTTCCACTCAGCGATACAGGAAAGGTTAAGGAATTACAGTACATCTTCGAAACAGCAAGACTCAACGGATACAAGGAGACCACAATCCAGGCAATCATCGATAAAAAAGCGAGAATTCTACAAAGGAGATTATTTACAACCCTCACCACAGCACCTGAACCATTGAAACGAGTGTCCGTTCCATTTGATCAAGATATTACTTGTAAACTAAGACCACAGTTAAAACAATTCGGATTAGATTTAGTTTTCACCAGTAGACATAACCAGTTGAAATCATTGTTAGGATCCACTAAAGACCCAGTTAATGTTTTAGGTAAAGCAGGTGTATATAAAATAAGCTGTAATCATTGTAACAAAGTATATGTAGGACAAACCAAGAGAACTTTAGCAACTAGATTTAAAGAACATATAGCGGAGGTTAATAAGGCCAAAAAGCAAGAAGAAAAGGGCCTAACATATGATTTCAAATCAAAGGTTGCAGAACACATATTCACAGAGGACCACCAACTATCGACGGAGGACATAACGATTTTACGAACCGTATCTACACCATGGAAATTGGATGTTGCAGAAAGCCTCGAGATCAACAAACAACGTAATTCAACTTTACTCAACAGGGATCAAGGAAACGGACACACATGGCTTTTCAAGTTACTACCTAGGACACATCAACGAGTAAGCAGCGGAGTACCTGTTCCTATAGAAAATTAAATTTAAGTTTACCTAGTTTCTAAGTGAAAATGTACCTGTGTTAATATATATTCGGTAAATGCGATGTTTTTCTTCAGTCGAGTATAAGTACAAGACACTGAAGAAGTCTGCACATTGTAGACGAAATACGCGTATCTGTCAAGGATAAGCAAATAAAGTAGTGGAATTAAATGGAAAATACTAATCCTTCTCTCTCTCATTATTTATCTAGGGTGTTAAACGACTTTGTACTGTTTATCAATATTCAGCAGAGATATTTTTCACAATTTCATATAGATAAGTTGTAACAAACTCTATGATCATATTTAAATAGATCGTACAGTGTAAATTGTATCTTTCGGGGAACTAGTTCTTTCGGGGAAATAGTTTTCGGGGAAAGTGTTTTCGGGGGAAAATCGTACAATCGTACAGTGAGATTAAACGGCCACTCCCAGTCAGTCATTAAGTCAAAGCAGGCTAATTTGGAGATTTTCAAACAACTGCTCCAACAATCTGAATATTTGGTAAGTTGTGAGACTTCAAGCTCAAGATTTCATTGATGCATTGTGCAATAATTCGCATCTTCATTATTCTTCATTGCCAACATTTTTAAAGCAGTGATTATGCAAAATATTATAATAATGAGTAAATGCTTAATCTGATGAAAGTTTTTGAACATTCTTGGAACCATAACGTTTAGAAAATGTTTAACGGATTTTCCACTATTTGAACTTTTCCGATTTTATCTTCTGTGAAACTGTGATTATGGTCCAGTGAACCTAAATTTTATTAACCGTTAACTACTTAACGTTGTACATTGTCATTAAAGACGTAGTATTCCTGTTGTTTGTAAACCAATAGTTAGGACATTTTTAGAACTAAGTAATATTGGATGTCCCCGAATAAACATCAATATTACATAATCACCCAAATCGCAGATGTATGTCATTAAAATGTGTGACATTTTGTAGAACTATGCGCCGCTAGTTTGTTCAATATAATTTCATAAAGTCTGATTGGTAAACAAAAGAGATACAACGGTTTTAGTGACGGTATGAATTTAACTGGTTCTATTGTTCTGACACGCACTGTATTATTCCCTGACTGAGGTGTAAATCGAGGCTGAAATCCTAGTTCCCTAACTGCATTCCATGGATTGGTATCCCTGGGCCTTGGGATTCAGCTCAGTTACTAACTCAGTTAACAGATCAACACTCCGAACACGATGCTCGCGGTAAACTTAGTACCGGCAAATTGTTAATGTTTGAAAAATCATTGCTCAGCAATGTATCAATTGATTTTAAATCTATTGATGCTGAATACATCTTTAAAATCTTTAATTTTAAGTGGTACTAATAGATTTGAAGTTCGTCAATAAATGGCAGTGCTATGATTTTTCAAGCATTGCAAGTTTACCGTTACACATTTTACCGGAGTGATCGGAGTGTTAATCGTTTATTGCTTCACGAAATTTTGCAAATGGCATAGGGTTAATGTGTTTAATATCGGCATAAGTGTTCCAATATTGGGCTCATCCAAAAATTACGATGGAAAGCATTTTCTGCCAATTTTTCACTAGCAACCAAAAATATCCATTTGTGTTGTCCAGAAAACGCATTGTTCTAAGAAAAATTTGAGAACAGAAATTTTTTATCGATGAGCCTAATCTTTAAATCTGGTTAATATTAGTAACATTTCCTGTACATTTCGTTAGAAATAAATACACAGGATGTAAGAAACACTTACATTCTGTTCATTTGCTTCCTATGAAAAAAATAATGGTGGTTCGTACAACAGACTGTACATTTGCTACAATTATTTGAAAAAATCTTATTACCACGTTTCGTGGTGATTTATTGCAGAATCTGTATATCTTTAGTACAAATCTATAACATAATCTTGACTATTTTCTTAAGCACAATCGTTATGTAATATCTTGTCAGATATCAGAACGACTCGTCGCTCCAAGGCAGACATTTGCTCATTTGACCCTCGCAACAACAAAAATACCTCTTGTGCAATGCTTTCAAATATAGGGTAAGATAGGCCAAGATGGGTCACGGGACAAGATGGGTCAGCTATTACATTTATTAATTTATCTATTCGTCAAACTCAACAGGTTCAATGCATCCTCAATGATGATATGCTTTTACAAATCAGCATTGGGGCTAAATTGAGCCTGTTGATGTTGACAATCAAAAAAATAAATAAATCAAGTAGATGACCCATCTTGCCCTACCTTACCCTACGTTGCAGATAATGTTAACAGTCTCAGCAACACTTAATCCAAAATTAGATTCACTCCCACGCAACTCCCCATTAATGCAAAAAAAAATCATCTTCATTACAAGTTTGTTTGCCAAACTTTATCCAAACTCCACACCTCATTACATTCACAAATTGTGCCCAATAATTCATCTTGTAAATCATTTCATATTCATGCTGGGTACTCATCCACTCTGCTTTCATAATTTGCATATTTGTTCGCTCCGGGTCCGTTTTGCCTTCGCCGTGTTTTTTCCTTCGCTTCATTGTTCCTTCAATCTGACCATCTCTCGCAACACACAAACACACAGTCCTGTCTTTCTCGTTTGCGCTTCACTTTCACTCTTCCCTTCGGATAGCTTCTTCCGCACACCACTTTTGTGTCACTACGTCGTAGCCAGCTAATTATGATGACGACCACCACCAACGATAAACTGCGCGCGCAATCACTTTCACCGCGTCTTTCAATCTCTCTCTCGCGCTCTCTGTCACAGTTGCGGTTAGTGGAATCCTTTTTGTCTTCCCGAATTTTAATCCGACGGTGAATTACTGTTTCCAAGGACCGGTTCCGGTCCGCTTTCCACCAGTCACCACGTGGTCGAAAATCACACAGTATCACCACACGGGGTGTCAATTTCTCCGATACAAACACACGTGCTTTCGTACGCGCTTCGCTAGGCACGTTAACTCTATGGCTCGTTTCTTCTTGCACTTGAATCAGCCGGAAGATATATAGGTCACTACGGCCAGTACCGACCGGTAATCAGAAGCCCGCCGAGCAAGAGAAGCTCGATAATCTCTTATAAATAATTCAGGTTCCTCACTATAGTTGAAGCGGCTGCACACGGCTGAAGGAGAGTGTAGAAAACCGTAAAACTAAATTTGCCGTTTTTCACCTTGCGCTTCACTTCAATTTTCGCGTTCCTTCTTCGTTTTTGGACATGATCCACCTGCGGGACCATATCTATCCACCGTGCTCTTTCCATTCGATTCGAAAAATTGTTGCTTGATTTGTTATTTTCCTATTAAAACACTTCACACGTATCCCGAACGATCGATATGTGGGTATCCATTGCAACGCAGAAGCAAAAGGGGGCGTTTGGGAAGAGGGCAGTCGATTTGCTCGATTACTCTACTTCCTGGCGCCTTTCGAGAGTAAAATATTCACACCTTTTTCGAAAAATTTCACTCAAACCAACGCGTGAGATGCAGAAGTAAATAGAGAAATCAGAAAATTAATGCGAGGCTCCCTAATGTTCGACTTGGTCGTACATTCGTGGTGCACAGTTACCACTATATTGAGGTGGTCAAGTTCCTGCAGGGTGATTGATGAAGCCAGTTCCGGATTGCGAGTTTGTTTTTCAATGAAGTTTCACCGTTTGGAATTTGTTAAAACATTTTGTCCATTGGTAAAGTGTCATCCAACTCAGGATACCACCATTCCAAAATATCACAAAACATTTCCGACTAATTCCAAATTTTCCAACATTGTACCATCTATATTTTGAAAGTAATCACTTCACTAAAACTAGATACTTTTGGAGAAACTTACACAGTATTATCACTTGAATTGCACACTACCGCCCGGGGCTAAAACTGCGACACGTTTAGATTTGAGAAAAATCCACCCGAATTCGGCACAATCTGTTCGATTACTGAACTAGACTCGAAAATGTTTCGCCGTACGTACGGTCACAACCGTTTTTCCCCCGGAAAAAATAAAATTAAAAAAAAAGCTCTTAGCGAAAAGACTATACACAAAAGGAAACCGTCTCGGACCCGCTTCGGACTTCGAATTGCACTTGTTCAGAAAACTGCTGCGCTCTGCGAGAGCTCGACCGACAGTGTTAAAAAATAATTCCAAACTAAATGAAGTGTACGTTGATTTGTTCCGCTAACTGGTCTGGTCTGGCCCCGGCCTGCCAGGGGGCCTTCGCTCGCTCTCCCACTTTCTTTTCTTTCACTCTCGGGTTATGCTCGCGTCGGCTCCGTGAGCCGGAATCTCACTCGGGTTTGGTTGCTTTCGCTTCGCTGCAGCAGCAACAGCATAGCGCATAACATCCGGGCCGGATCTCGCGAGCACTCGATCGGTCGATCGGTCGGTGTCGGTGTGGTTGCGTAAACGGATCTCCTTCGATCGGGGTGGGTTACTGACTCATCCACTCACTAGGCTACCGCGTCACATTGCCGAAGCGCGAAGGTCACTCGGAAATTCCATCACTCCACTCCAGCGCCTGCTCATGCTCAGCAAGCTGAGGGGGGTGGAATTTTCACTTTCATTTCATGTTCGTGTTGTGTTCGGCTCGGGTGTCTTAACTCCCCACTTCGTGTGGTTGTGAGTGACTCAAACCCGAATAGGTGCCGGTTTCGGGATCGGATCGTTGATCGCCGATGATGATGGTGAGGATGATGATGATGATGATGATGTTGACGACGACGACGACGGCGATGTTTGTGCACTGATAAATCGTGTAATGTTGAGCGAGAAAGTTTTCTGGAAGGTGGTCGCATCGGGTTGAGGAGTAACTTTCAGCCAGCCGTAGCTGTTCGTGGACGAAAGGACTGAGGGGTGGTGGGGAGATGATTCGCTTGGATCGTCGGATATTGTGCGACATTTCGCCACGGATGCTGATTGGCTGAGGTGTTACGTTAGAGAAGAAGTAGGTATTTTGCAATTCGGTGTGTGGGGTATTTTCGCGCTGATTGACGCAGACAAGTGAGTAACCGATGAACGAACGGCATTGGGGGCGATTTCATAATTTTGATGGTTTTGGAACAGATCCTGCTAGGTTGGATTAGTAATGCGGGTGAAGAGATTGATATATTGAGTAATTGCATGACAGTCGCTACCTGTAAAAATGTTTGGTAAGACATATCTCTCACCAGTGAAAGATCCAGTCAGAATTATCGCCGGATTCCTTATTGCCGGTATCCCTTATTGCCGAGCTATCCGCGAATAAGGATACCCAAAGCTTATGTGATTTTCACTAAAAGGAGCTGTGGTGGATTATCTCATTTGTTTCGGTATATAGAGCTATAATGTCTTCGACAAAGTTGTTTTACTGGGATAGACCAACAAGCCTGTGTCATTGGATTAAGCTTTAATTGGGAACTACGCCGCTAGAGGCGTTTCACTTGTATGTTACTTATGACGGGCGCTATAATATATGGATCATAAGGTCAACATAAAATATTTCGTGATCCTGGCTTGTTACTGTCTTGATCAAAGTTGTTTAACTGATCAAGTCCTTTCGGATGATGGCCATATTAGTTCAGAACTCACTCACTACGCAGCGCAAGTGTGCATATGAGCTTGCTACATAAGCTGTATCTAAAAATCCTGGCCATATAAAAGTTTACTATCTTCAGCAAAGTTGTTCAGGTGATCATGTCCTTTTGTATGGTGTTCATATTAGTTCAGAACTCTCTCCCTACGCAGCGCTAGTGTGCATGTGAACTTCCTATATAAACTGTATTTCGAGAACCAGGCCATATAGAACTTTTCCGTCTTCAGCAAAGTTGTTCAGGTGACCAAGTCCTTTCGGATGGTGGTCATATTATTTAAAAACTCTCTCATTATGCGGCGCTAGTGTGCACATGAACTTCCTTAATATGTTATGTCTGGAAAGTTTTTCCATATATGATGTTGCTGTGCAATGTGAGGACACGAAACGGAATAGGGATGACGTGTAGAGAGGCTGTAGATCGATTTCGGACGCCATTTTAAAATCCAGGATGGCGGTTATCGATTCAAGTAAAAATGTCCTATAGCCTACTATATGGGTATTTCCGGAAAGGGGATGACGTGCAGAGGCTGGAAATCGATGCCAGACGCAATTTTTGAATTCAAGATGGCGGCCATAGGTTCAAGAAAAACTGTCAAATACCGTAAAATATGGCTATTTTCAGAGAGGAGATAACGTGCACATGCTTGGCATACACAGTTTTGGTCAGGAACCGCTCATTTGCTAATAACTTTGCACATAGTTGATAAAACATAGTTCTGTTTGAAGCAGTAGATAGAATAAAGTTTAAGCTTATTATAGGTACGTAAGAAAAAGTAGATTTTAAATCCAGTAATAAACTGTATCTGTTTTTGTGTTGTAAAAATCAAGTGAGAAATGCTCAAAGCACATCTCGGACTTTAAGTGTAAAAATTCATTGGTGTTGATTCAATTGTTAAGATTTACCTACTCTTTGCATATCTATAGTAAGCTATGATCCTATTCTATCAATTACGTTAAAGAAAAACAAATGTCAACAACTGAATGAAAAGTTATTAGCAAATGAGCGGTTGGTGTGTACAACTGTGCATGACAAGCATGGACGTGCAGAAGCTGGATATCGATTCAAGTTGCCATTTTGGAATCAAAGCTGGCGGGCATTGGCTCAATAAAAACTGTCGAATTCCAAAATATGGGTATTGATTTTGGATAGAGAATGACGTGTAGAGATCAGATATCGATGCCAGACTCCATTTTGAAATTGAAGATGGCAGCCTTTGCTTTAACGTAAACCATGGTGATGACGTGTATAGGCCCAAAACAAGGGGATGGTCACTCTACACAGTGTGCCAAAATCAAACTTTAGCACACCCGGGCGTCGTCATTGACGCTGTCTGGCACCCATGGTTACAATTTTTATGTTCTTTAAAGTTACTGGCAACACTGAACTTTTTCTGCGCTTATACAGTGTGCATGTGTCAAAATTTGTTATTGATGTTGCCACAATATAATCAAATTATTTTCAAAACAGCCGTGAATCTCCACCAAGTCTCGCCATGGATTCTCAAAATCGTTTCACCCGTGACGGCAGTCGCATTCACATTTCCTTCCAGACGAAGAACAGCTGACAGCGGTATCTTGACCTGACCGAGGTTTCCGGCCATGGCTACACGAACTAGCGATGCAGCTTCCACGGCTGCTTCCAATTCTGCTGCTGGTCCGTCTTTTTTTATGAATTTTAGAGGAGACGGACCAGCAGAAGGAACATTAACTACACAGGAAAAGGAAAATCCTTTCTTTTCTCAGAAAAAGAAAGCTAATGTGTTTTAGATGTTCTCGTTGCTCCACGCACCGGTCATCTTCTTGGAGGAGGAGAAGCACAGCTTCATAATGAACGGGAATTTTGTGCATTTGTAATCGATCGCGCTGTGGTTGCACTTCATGATGGCGTTCACCGTCAGGGCTACGCTCGGGAACTCGACCAATCCGGAGGAGGAAATTTTCCGATTTCAGCGGGAACATTCGCACTTGCGACGGGTGGCAGTCCTTGGTGGTCAAAGGGGTGGGATATTGAAGAAGAGGAGAGTGTGATTTTTGCTGTCCTGGGAAGTGATTGTTCTTGGAGGCACTGCAGACCTTGAAGCTGATCGAATTGTTCAGCAGGGTGTACGTTCGACTGGTTAGACTGCGATGGCGTCTCCCATCTAAACCATGGCCAAACCCTCTTTGGTCTTTAGGAACTTTATTCTGACATTTCCATACAGGAAGAACAGATTGAACAGCTTATCGGTGTTGGCTGTGTTGTTATCGAGTCCGTAGACCATCATCACTGCACCCTGTTGCTTTGCCGGTTGAATGAAGTTGACTGGTCCGTTTCGGGTCAGCGGTACGTCCTTCATCAGTCCGACGTGTGTTCCGGCCGGTGTTGGTTTCCAGTTTTCAGACGGACGATACTCGGGCGGTGACAAATTCGGTGCAAATCCGTTTCCTCGGTCGGTCTTCCGCCGAAGATGGATGTTTTTGAAAACATTGAAAATCAAAACAAAAACAAGAACTGTTAAAATACCGGGTTGCCAAACAAGGCATTATTCACAAGCAAACAAAAGTCAGTTCAATGAGTTCTTGGCACTGCCGATACAGCTGCGGCACACTGAGGTACACTGAGAAAAATTTTGGCGCAAAATAAGTGTGTAGAGTGACTACCCCTTGGCCCAAAATCGATGTCTGCCACCATTTCGGGATCCAAAATGGTGGCAATTGACTTTCGAATGGACATTTAGATTTAGATTTAGTGGCTATGGACAGCCTCGTATCAGTTCAGCACGGTTAACGTGGACCGTGTACGGGGTAGGTTTGGCGATAATCCACTAGAAAGGGGCTGTTCATTAACTACGCAGAAAGTTTTTTGGGATTATTTACCCCACCTCCCCCTGCGTAGACAATTGTCCATACAATTTTTTTTAAATTTTTATGGACCTTGGTTTTTGCCAACCCCCCTCCTAAACTGTCTACGTAGTTTATGAATTTGTCTAATTAATGTTTTAGGGTATTTTGGAGCTCAAAATCTTGCCTCGCATTAGTTTTCCTGAATAATGCTTATCAAGCATGTTGCATATATGAGGCTGTTCATTAGCTACGTAGACAGTTTCTTGACCCCCTCACCTCCCCCTGCGTGGACAATTGTCCATACAAAAAATTTAAAATTTATATGGGCCGTGGATAGTTGTCAACCTCCCCTAAACTGTCTACATAGTTTATGAACATCCCCTAATTTGTAGAATGTGTAAAACGTATCATTGAGCATGATAGCAACGTTTCGACTTCCCTTAGCAAATCTTGGATTTTTGCACTCTGTTCTGCAGAAGCTTTCGAACTCGGAAAGTTGATTTATTTTGAACTCGATTTCTACCGTGGTGGTATGAAAATATACTCCATATTCATTGTAAATGGGTCCAGTTCGCTAACAATTTTATCTGCTGCAGCTAGTTCTTCTCTTATGATTTCGTTGATTTCACCGTGTTTCTTATCCCCGGCGCACCAAAATTTCCGTGAATTTGTTGAATTTCGGACATGACCTGCAAATCCTCGTTGTCTTCTTCATTGCATTGTGAATTCGCGAAATGCGACGGAGGAATTTTCTTTAAG